GCAGAGGCGGCTGCGTCCCGCTAGTCTCGCCGCCCGCGCCACCCACCACCGAGCCTGACGCGCCTGCTCCGCCGCCGAGCCTGCGCCGTGGCGCGCCGCCGACCGCTGCGGGGACCGCGGGCGGAGGAGCGGGTCGCCTCCGCGAGGCACGAGGCTCCCCGCCAGGAGGACGTCACATTCGGGCCGCCGGGTGCAGGAGCACAGCAGGGCTGTCCCTTCGGAAGGGACACGCGGGGAGACACTGGTGGTGCAGAAAATAGGGGAAACCGGATTGCACTGGCCTGGGGCTGCTTCGGGGTCGCGTGGCATGTGACACTAGCAACATGCACACTACAACAGCAGATGGCCTTCCTGGGTCAAAGGGGACAGAGGGTGATTTCACCCATTCCTTGGCATGCTGACTTCTAACTTAATGTCAGAGTGGTAAACCCAGTTTCTGAAGGTTAATCATAAGAAGCTTCACCTGTTCAGTCACCCCAACAGTACAGCGGGCAGATGACACTGCCTTTAATGTCAATCACATAATTAGCGTTGTGAATTGGGCCTCTTCTTCACACAGCCCACATTGTCTTCTTAGCCCAGGTGTGCCGGGAGAAGAATGCCATCCTTCCCATTTTATCCACTAACGTATTTTCTTGGGGTTACAGATCTTTAAAAGGAATTTACTAGAAACTCAGTGATTTTACATACCTGAGCCATTTAGCTTCTGCCTTTGCATAATAAAACATTGTCTTCCTCTCCATGGTTAAGAAACAACTTTGATTTTTGGTTGCTGAGATCTTCCATTAGAGATCTGGTTTGCTTTTGCTCCCTTGGTTTTTTTTGGGGGGAGGGGGTTGTTTGTATTTGTTTGAGAGGATGGGGGGGTCTTCCTATATAGCACAGGCAGGCTGCAAACTTCAGGTCATTCTGCCTCCACCAGCCTGCTGTTAGAATCATAGATGTGAGCCACCATGATTGACTCTAAAGTGACGCCTGATTGACTTTTTAATCAATAAAGCATCGCCTTCAGTGAGGGTGGCTTAGCAGTGTCTGCAAGCACAGTTGTGTCCACAAATAGGTGTTGAGCTGTAGGGTATCATTGGCAGAACCACTCCCTGTGCACACCCATCTTCGATCAAGTTCACAAAACTTTCTGCTAGGTAAGAGTACTGACCACTAAGAAGAGATTATCACTTACATACCGAATCATTATTCCCAATTTAAAGAGCTGTACCATGTGGAATCTGACACATACACAAAGAAACACAAATTGAATTAGAACATGACTGCAGTTTACAGACTCATAAAGGAGATCTGTATTAGTAATACAAATTTTATGCCATATAATATTTGAAGAATGGGCCATATAAGGAAGAAGTGAGTTCCCACATAACCAGATGATTTAGAAACTGAAGAAAACCTAGTTTCCAAGTCATCATGGAATTACTAAGAATTTGAAGTTAATAGGATACGCTGGACTCCTTTAGTGAAAGAGACTTAGCTCTTTTTACATTCATAAAGACACACTTAGGACTTCTGTAAATTCTGTGCTGGAAATCTCTACAACTGGCTGGCTGCCTTCTACTGTTGTATATATAGAGAGATATAGATAGATATATGTATGTTTCATTCTACAATATATGTTATTGGAAAATGTGGTTTTCATTAAATATATATCCAGGTATTTAGCTGGATTTGTAGGTTGTTTTGCGCAAACTTTAGGAAATACAGTTGATGCTCTAAACAGACATCCATTAAGCATGTAATGCAATCATGTTCACAATTTTGAATATTTTTCTGTGACCATGATCAGCTGATCTATGATAATATAGTCGTCTTATGTTATATTATGAAAGGAGAGGCTTCTAAAGTGAAGTAATGAAGGGATCTGTTTTTCTTTATCTGGCAAATGCTGACCTACTTTTCTAGATTTTTTCCCCCTTCTCCATTCCCTCGTCTTATCATCCCTTTATTTGGCTTTAAATACCACATTGATGATTCCTAAATCTTACCTCTCTGAACCAGACCTCTCCCCAGAACTCTAGACTCCATGTATTCAAATGCTTTCTCAATATCCAAACTTCCATAATTAATAAATACATTGTGTTAATTACTTTTCTCATTGCCCTGTATAAATAACATATATGATGTAACTTAAAGGAGGAAGGCTTTATTTTGTCTTACAGTTCGGGTGGATAGAATCCATAATGGTGTGGAAGGCATGGTGGCCAAAATGAGAGATGAATGGTCATATTGCATCTGCAATCAAGAAGCTGAATGAATTCTTCAGAGCCTGATTCATCCTTTTTATTCAGGCCCCCAGCCCATAGCATAGTGACATTCAGGATTAGTATTGATTTTTCTACTTCAGCTAACCTAATCTAGAACCTCTCTCACAGACAAGCCCTGAGATTTTTCTTCTAGGTGAGCCTAGATCCTGTAAAGTTAACAGTCAATATTAACCATCACAGAGGCTGAACAGGCTAAAAAATGAGCAGTGATCCTCTAAAGTTGACATTAAATATTGATGCTAAATATCTAAAAAAGAGAAGAGGGGCTGCAAATAATCCCCTCCCACATTTATGTTTACTTCTGTTTGAACATGGAATGATGCATTTGTGATTTGTGGACCCAGTTACACATTACTTTCTGCTGTTTATTCCTAGTTGGAAGTATTTGTAGGCCTATCTCACAACACTCAATAGGAAAGAATTTCTCTGGAGACATATCTATGCTAAAATATATTAATTTTATTCTACTTGATCATGGAACTTGAATACAACCCCAAGTAATAGATGAAGAAATCAAATATTGGAAGAAGACAGATTATTATTACAAAGTCATTTTTTCACATGAGAAAAGTACATTTTGCTCTTATCTCTGCTCAAATAGCCTTAAAACATAAGTCTCAAACCCCCATTCCTTTATCACTCTTCTCTACCTGACTCATATTCTTTAACGGCAGCCTGAATTTTAAAAATCATTCATGAGATTTTTTTTTCATCAAAATTTCAATCCATTTGACATTAGAACCATCAAATATTAACAAACACTGTATGTCCAGCTGTTTCTGATATTTTCCCCAAATTGTAGTTTTTAAAACTTTCTCAAAATATATAATAGAAGTATAAATATAAAAGAGAAGAATCTAACAGAAGATAATGAGCATGATGGGTCCATTGACCTCTGTTATGTGCTGTTCATGAACCATAAAGAAAGTAAGATTCACATTGAGCTGAAGAGTAGCTAACTGGATTGAAATAACAACAATAATATTTGATAATCCAAGATCACTTCTACATGTTTTACTGACATCCCAGATTACCCTTA